GGTGTGATTTGGAATATTTTGGAGTAGTCCTGTAATTATTTTGGAGGCGGTCTAGGTCTATAAGGCTTTGAAATCATTGAAGACACCAAAGACAGTTGTCCAATTTGAGCACAGAGCCTAGTCATGCTATATTATGGGATGTGGCCTAGACCTCCCCACCACCACAGAGATAATTACAGTAGGTGGTGCGTGAGTTGCAGAGCAGGACGAGACTGCCGCAGATGCCTTGTTCCACCTGAAGCGAGAAAGCGTAATCCCAGAGTGCATTCGCGGGGTATGCGAAGACCACCAGTTGCGGAGCGCTCTTCGCTTGCCACACGTGGCAGCCTGGCAGAGTTTCTGGGAGAGCGGGATGGGGCCTGGTCTATTGGATCATGATGAATTGTTTCACTCTCTGATCGTGTCTCCCATTGGCCATCAATCAGGTTTTGTGGGATTTAGTGAAGCTGCGCATACTCAGGTGTATGCAGAGATCAATGGGATATGTGACCTGCAAGCCAGCCAGGAGTTGTACACCAAGCCATGGCCAAAGCAGAAACTTGAAAGAGATGAGATGAGCATACGCGTCACATAGATTCTAGAGTGGTCCTGTGCCATTTCACTTCTGAAAAAGTGTATTACTGTATATTACTGTAGTAAGTATATGTAGGTATGTGAGTTGCAGGAGGATGAGGTGAAAAGGATTGAAAAGGATTGAAAGGAGTTGTGAGGTGGCAGGTTTGTTTGTGGTTTGTGCTATTCTCTGCACGCTCAGGAAAGAATGTTGGAGGCTGTTTCTCCAAGAAATGGCAGCGTACATTCGGTTTAAGGACCAGCAGGAAATGTTTGGCGAAGAAGAGGCAGGAGCATTCTGTTATATTCTGTTGAACATATCTATTTCACGTTTCTTCAGTGCGCAAGCCAGCTTTTTGCATCCACTGCGCCCACTGCGCAATCTCTTGATATCTTTTGCGCATTCTTTCACGTCGATTGCGTCTCGCGATCAGAATTGGGGGTTGTATCTTAGATCACGGATCGCCGCGTATCGCGCCACATGACGCCTATGCTCTTGCTGCTGTGGGCAATGGTGACGCTGGGGGAAGCTGGAGCACCTAAGGACAGGGTGGACAACAGGGAACGGGTAATGCAGGGATTGCCAAACTTTTTGCAGATGTTTCGACAACTGTTTCCAGATGTTTCCAGCGATCAGGATGATGTCTCTGCAAGCCTGCCTGAACGCGATTGGTTTGTTGCAGACAATCACTACACGGAGTTGAAGGGTGTAGTCAATTCGTTCTGCAAACCACGGACGCTACACTGCTTGGACATATTCGGGTTCACAGGAAAAATTGCGAAGGCGTGGACCAAGCGGAATTACCAAGCAGAGAGCTATGACATCCTCCGTGGTGGCCGGTCAGAGGACCTGCTATCCAAGAGAGGCTTTTTGAGGCTCCTGCGGTTGTCTCTCTCCTTGGTTTCGGGCGGTGCCATTATTGGTGGACCACCGTGTTGCATGTTCACATTCATGATTCTTGCTTGCAAAAGATACCAAAAGAATTCAAAAGATATCAACAAATGTCAGAAACTGTAGGATACTATAGGATAACTTATAGGATACTCAGCAAATCTCGCAAGCCCCAACAGACCCCAGCCCCAGCAAACCCCAGCAACATCCAGCAATGTACTCACATGATGTGCAGCCCAGGAGCATATCGGTGCACCGGAGGCATTGCTTAGGGCCTTTGGGAGACTTGACCAATTTGAAAGTG